AAGTTCACGAACCCCTACAAAAAAAAAAAAAAATGCACGAGGAAAGTACAGGAGTTTGTACCCCGAACAGATGGAAAAAAAAAAAAAAAAAAAAAAAAAAAAAAAAAAAAACAGGAAGCAACATAGTTTATACTCCATAATGAACTATGGAGTTCATTATGAATGATATCGAATAAACAGGTCGATCAATATTAAAATCCTAAATTCTGGACTTAGCGAAGGGGTGACGCAAACCGGCAAATCTGATCGCTATAAACTATGGAGTCAAAACAGGAAGAAAACAACAGGAAATGTATTACAAAGGCAAATTGATGGGTGAGAAAACAAGTATGGAGTACAGGAAAAGAAATTACAGACAGAAGTTGCAAAGCAAGTTGTGTATTCATCGGCTCTACTGGCCGGAAAGTACAAAAAATACTAATTTAAAGAAAAAGGGGTACAGATGGAGGTCTAATCTATTTGTTCGGGATGGTCCTCACCATCTTCATCATCGTCTTCGTCAGCTTCTTCGTCAACAACCTGCACGACCTCCATCCCCAGGGCTCGCCGGCATTTTTTCATTTGTGCCATCAGGGCGTTCAGATGACCCGGATGGAGGTCAGAGGGCAAGTCAGAGGGCTGCACCGAACGGCCCATCTGTTTTTCTAGGAGGGGGAGGAGAGGCTGGAGCATGTGTTGACAACCTGAGTTGTAGACTCCCCGGGCAAGATTGTCGGCCCACTCCTTGGTGATAGGGTGCTGATCGAGCACCCTGACCCCCTCCTTCTGGCGCTCTTCCCCGGCCAGTTTCTCCAGGTGCCTTCCAAAGACAGCAGGGAGCTGTTCGGTGGCATATTCTTCCTTTAGAGCCAGGAACTCCTCGGAAGCCTTGAATTGATCCCGAACGGCAGATAGATCAACTAACATTTCAGCCGGGCCGTCCGGGATTTGGGGAGGGGCCTCAGAAAACTTGACCTGAGCGGCCTCAGCTGCCGCGATCTTGGCCTGGAGAGAGCCCACCTTGACACGAAGCTCCCCAGCCTCAGCTTCTAGCTTCCTCCGCTCCTCGGCAAAAGCCCGGCGTTCGGCCTCTGATGCCTGTTCAGCCGTTTCCTTGGCCATCAGCAGCCCGTGTTCCTTGGCCTGCCTGGCCTCTCTGAGTTTCAGGCTGTAGATCCCTACCTATTGATCGAGTACAAATAAGAAATGAGAACCTGGTAAATTAATGAACAACCGAAGAAAGAGAGGTGATAAGAAATTACCTTCAGGGCAGCCAAGGCAATACACTCTTCGGCCTCCTCGACCGGCATCGGAGGAAGGTTATGCCCATTGAGGAAGCCCGATGTGGACCAAATCTGGCTTGCTGGACAGCCTCCCCTTTCCAGCATTCCATGAGCGGGATCTTGAAGGGAGATCTGCTCAAACTGGCTCGCCAAATCAGCCTGGTTGGCGGCCAGTTCCTCAGCGGAAAAGTGGTGAGACTGCTGATCAGAGAAGAGCTGATCCATCAGCATATCAGCATGTGAAGATTGCTGTTCAGGGGCAACCTGCTGCACAGGTTCTACATCCCGAACAGGTTCAGACTGCTCGGGGACGATGGGGGCGGATTGGGAGGATGTCCCCTGATCGGCCTTCCTCAACCTCTTCCTCTTTGTCTTCCTCTGCTGCTTGGGAGGAGAGGTTGGTGGCTCATCATCAAAACCAACGGTAAAGAGCCTGCTGTCATCCATTGCCGGCGGTTCGGGGTTGTCTCCTTCGGAATCTGAAGATTCGCCTTGCTTAGGAGCTGAAAAGACAAAAAGGAACAAATTAGTACCGAGCGGTTCACACGTGGATTAAAAAATTATATCACACGGGAAGGACCGCCCGGGCCATGGTACTTGGTTTTCAGTCAAGTAAGTCCAGGAATACGGGCAGTACCTATCCCGGCTTTAATAAGCCGTTCGGGAGTCAGATATGGCATAATCTGGAAGCAACCACCCGCCTCCACAGCAATGATATCCTGACTAAGGTCTTCAGAGATGAACGGTTCGGGGGACTTTGGCGGAAAGGCGTTCCACTTTCTTGGGATCAGGCCGGTTGGGACAGATACAAAAAAGAACCGATCTTTCCATTCCTTGATGGAGGAGGGAGCCTTGGAGAACAAAATATGACCTGATCGGGAACTCGCGACTAGATAACCCTGGGCTTGTTGTGGGATGATCGAGAAAAAGTAGTGAAACAGATCTAAGGAAGGGGTCACCTTAGCTTCCACACAACGACAAATAAAACCAGCCATTGCCCGGTAGGAGTTCGGCATTATTTGGGCTGGCACTATATTATAATAATTTAAGAGGGAAACGAAGAAGGGGTGAAGGGGGAACCTAAGGCCGGCCTTAAGGGAATCAAAATGGACCACGACCATCCCTGGGAAGTGGCGCATTGGGTGGAGCCCCGATTGGAGGCGGAAGTTCACCGAATCAGGAAGTAACATCTGGATTTGGGCCCGGTTCTGGGCCGTGAGCTTTTGGCGCCTAAGCCTAATCAGGGCTAGGTCAAGCTTATGGCAGGAAACGCCGCTTGGAGGACCGGCGTTCATAACTTCCAATTCATCCCCCGATTTGGTGCCATCAGGGTAAACGTCGGAGGAGGAAGAGGAATCATCACCGTTAACTTCCGCCGGAATAGGGACGACTTGCAGCACATCGTTGGGGTTTCCCTCTGGGATTGCGGTACCGGAAGTAGAGGGTTCAGATGAACGAAGGGGTGCCATTTTCACCGAACGAGGGAACTAAACAGTAGAAGGAAGTTCGAAGGATACCTGAACAGATGCAGCAGAAGAAGCTCTAGAGAGAAGGCAGAGTACTAAGCCGGAGATGCAAAGTTTCGAAACCCAGAATCAAACCCAGAAGAGCCTATTTATACTCTGTCACGCCAATTCAGCTGCCAATCAGAAGAGGACACGTTTTTTGTAATGATGACAGAGACACGTGTCACACAGAGAATCCTTCTCAGGTAATCATGGCGTTTATCGGAAAAGTGAAACGACAGTTGCAAATAACCGTCAAAATATGCCTCGGGAACCGGCGGAATGCCATTCGATACTCACCCGAACAGCATTCGGGCAATAATCTTCTACTTCCTTATGCTCTCACTACCGTTCGAAACATAGGAAGTGGGGGACTAGTGTTGGGATATTGGGTCCAGGCCCAATATCCCTAGGCCCAAATCCAGGAAGAAACAGCGGGCCCGAGGCAGTCCAAAAGAACTCTCGAACGGCATTCGGGATAAAATTTATACTTGGAACATTCCGGGAAACAATTATGCCAAATCACCTATGGTGGAAATACCGATCGGCGTTCGGGATGTGTTCCTAAGCAGGATAACACCTATGACGGGGTCCCACACACCGAACACCCTGCCCGAACGGGCAATCATCAAGTGGAGGCCGCATTTAATGCTGGATCATGGCGGCAGCAAGTGGGGGCATGGGTGCTTACATGGCAGAGGTGATAGCCTACCAGATTCGACCACGTGTCCACCTTACCCATCCCCATTTTAGTATAAATATCCATGTTTAGATCATTGTAAAGGGTGAGCATTTTAATACTCAGAGCTTAAGCAATAGATTTACATCTCCCACCCTTGTAATCTCGTATTCAGCTACCGTTCGGGTAGTTTCAGTGTAATTGCTTAATTACTGAATATAAGTAAGTTCTTGAGTTGAATATTATCTCACTATTTTATATTTTATACACATTTTCAACCTTACCCCAGATCCCCACAATATCCAAGGCTTGTGTTGGGCTTTCGGATCTTCGGGAATAAACCTCAACAGTTATGTTTAAGTTTAATGTTTGGACTTGGATATTTTTGTGATACTTGAACATTTAGGATATCATGTATATGTGATGCATGGGTCATAATTTCATTATTTGAGATTTGAATTTTTTTATGTAATTGGAGGTAAAATGTGTTAATTTTAGAATGATAATAAATTTTTATCAGGAACCAAAAAATGTTAAGAACTGAACCGAATTTAACTAGCTAGAACCGAACCGCATTTAACAACTACATTTTTAACTAGAACCAAACCGAATTTAACGACTACAATTTTTAATACGGTTCCATCGAATTTTAACAAGAACCGAACCGATCTCAGGCCTACATATCACATCAGCTAATTGAAAATAATTTAGGGATAAGGGTCAGATAGGACCTCGAACTTGAAAAAAATGTCAAATAAGGCCATATTTAGGATGCTCTGTCCGGCCGACGCCATTTAGGGCAGTTCCCAGTGGAATTTTTTGATGAAATTTTTTGAGAATCTTATTCATTAAGTCTAGTTTACTCATATCAAATTTGAACTAAAACTTCAATCGGGAAGGCATTGAAATGAATTCTTGAAGATAACTGTGCAGTTAAAAGCACAGTTATCTTCAAAAATTCATTTAAATGCTTTCCCAATTGAATTGTTAGTTCAAATTTGATATGACTAAACTAGACTTAATGAATAAGATCCTCAAAAAAATTCATCAAAAAATTCCACCGGGAACCGCCCCAAATGGCGTCAGCCGGACATAGCATCATAAATATGGCCTTATTTGACATTTTTTTCCAAGTTCGAGGCTCTATCTGACCCTTATCCCAATAATTTAACGGGGCTAGTTGGGTAAGACCATTTGTAGTGGTTGAGGGGCTAAAATGTTAAAAATGGACCCGTCCATATGAAAACAGTGTTTAGACTCCCATTTCTCTACATTCCAGCACCGTCAATAAAACACATTCATCATATCTTTTTACATACCAATTTAGTAAAAAATTAATTAAATTATTATAAGTAATTTTTTCCTTTTAATTTTTTCCCTGAATAATTATGAAATAAAAAATTCACATTTCGGTGTAAAAGTAAATAAATTTCAACAATTTTTAAAAAAATTTCCGATTAACAAAAAATGAACTTAGTTCAAAGTAAAGTTCGATTGTGGAATATTCAATTATTTGTGAATGCTCCATGAATTAAAAATTTGTGTTTCATGTTTTTTGGGGTTCAAGAAAACTTCGACAGTTTAAACTTCAGTTTTTTCCCCAGTTTATATATTACATATTGGTGTTATATGAAAGATTATAAAAATTTATAGATTTTGATGTATTTTTTGAAAATTTTGGAGAAAAAATAAAAAAGTTATATAAATTTTTTTAAAAATTGGATTTTATGATGCAAAGATGAAAAAATTGCATCATCCGCACAAAAAATGAAACCTCCGTACATCCTTTCTATTCTTTTTTCTTTCTTTTTTCTTTTCCCACTCCTCTAAACCAACCCTCTATATTTAACCCCTTCCATCCACTTTCCCACTTTTAATACCCCATTTAAACTTCCACTACTCACATTTAGGAGTCTAAAAAATCTACATTTAGCTTTTTAGACTCCTAATACTTTACCACTCCAAATTCATCCACTATCGTTCGTACTCTTCTCTTAGTCTTCATGAAAATCTAGAATGGATCCTGGTGTGCTTCTTCCTCCATTTAAATTAATGACGCCGGCGGTAGAAGCTTAAGGGGAAAATGCCGGTGATGGTAAGGAATAAAGATAGAGTCATGTCTTCTTCTTCCTCGTTCATATATAGGAGAAGAAGCTTCTTTTTCCTATCCAATTGCAGGAGGACGCCGGTGATGGAAGCTGAAGTATATGATGTTAGTAACGGCGCTGCCGCGCTGGAGACCGGAATAGAAGACGCCGGAAGATGACGATGGAACCTATATCCAAAGACATCGGTGACGGACAAACTCAACAAAGCAAATCTAATTCTCATCATTTTCATGTCATTTGTTTCTCTATCTTTTTTATCTTTTGTTTTTCTTCTTTCGTGATTCTCATGCGACTCCTGCAGTTTTTTCTCATGGATGGGTATCCACTTTTGTATCCAGTTTTTTATCCTATTTTCCAGCGACTTGTTATGTGGAATGTAAAGAAAGGTTGGTAGCTTGAGAAGACAAGGGAGAGGGAAGCAAAAAACGAAAATGAAAGATAAAAGAGCCAAGTGGAGTGCCACATGTATAATCTGACCTGCTAACAGGTTGTTTACCGGATAATACTATGATTTGAACAATTTTTAAAACTTAAGGGATTTGATTAAGTGATAATTTAGTACGAAGACTTAAATTAATTTTTTTGATATAGTACAAGAACTTATTAGACAATTTTCTTAAGAAAAAAATGATATGACTCTTTACAAAATATCAGTGAAAGATGGGTTTTTTGAAAAGGTAAAAACTCTGGAATAACATATTACAAAGATACGTGCGTGCATGAAAATAAACTAATTACAAAGATAAAATTATTCTAAAATTACATAAAGGCAAAACTATTTTTTGAAAATCAATGAAAGATTGAATTATTGTTCTCAATGTTTTCAATTTAGGATTTTTTTATTGGACAGATGCTTTCTAATTTGATCTTATTTGTTTAAATACGCAAATTATACCGTGGGATCGGCCCACCTTGCGCATGGTGTGCCGATCCCAAACGGCGTCGTTTACTTTAGTAATAATTAGGTTCACAAACTCTTCTCTTCTCCGCAGCTCAACGAACTCTTCTCCCCTGTTTAACAAACTTTCCTGCGATTTTTCTCATCTCTTTTCAATGGAATTTTCGGTCGTTGATTCTGTTCTTCTGAATTCTTCAACTGAATTTCGCGATCCTTTGCCGTCCAATATACACGATATCGACATTCATTCAACCGGTGATAATAACTTGGAATTTGATCAATCGGTTGCTGTTGAATGGATTGGTAATTATTTAATGTTTTGAGCTGTATGCATTTCGTTTGTTTGTATGTGCAGTATGATATTCTATTTCTGTTCTCTTTTTTATTATTTGGCGTTGAAATATGGATTGTTGTATTCATCTTAGTTAATTTTTTGTTGTTTTAGGTTCTAGTGAAGAAGATACTTGTTCACGTGCTTCTAAATTGTTATTTCTTCTCAGCAGAGGTAATATTTCTGTCATTTGATACAATTTTGTTCTGTTAAGTTTAGTTCAATCCTATGTAACTGCTTTTTGAACAACATGTAACATCTGTTTAATCGTATGTAAGCTTTTGTGAAATTGTGTGTAACTACTTATTTAGCAGTTGTTTGTTTTGATATGTACGATTTTAAAATTGTCAGATGCATTGGAAACTGTTGATCAGGCAACAGAGAATAAATCACTTGTTGGATTTAGTGTCAAATGTGAACAGGATGCTTATAATCTTTACAACGATCATGCTTTTGAAAATGGATTTGGTATTCGTAGATACAAACAGAGGTTTAGGAGTGGAAATGTAAGTTTGAGTATGAAGTCTTATTGTTGTTGGAAAGAAGGAAAGAAACTACAAAAGGGTACTGAAAACAAATCTTATACGAAGCTAGATTATCGTTCTGATTGTAAAGCGAAGTTACAATTTTCTATTGGTGTTGATGGTGACTGGACTGTTTCGAAGCATATTATTCATCACAATCATGCTTTTTGTGCCATTGGTCAAAGACATTTGCTGAAATCACATAGAGGTGTTGATCGTGAATATCTTGAGTTTATTATGTTGATGAAGGAGAGTGGGACAAAGGTTTCCGATATTCACAGAATGCTTCAAAAGCAATCTGGAGGTGTTAGTTCTCTTGGTTTCACCAAACGTGATGCTTATAATGTTTTGGAATCTGAAAGGAGTAAAATGTTTGATGGCACTGATTCAAACACTTTGATAGGTATATTGAAGAAAAGGGCTGAAATGGAATCTGATTTTTTCTTTGATTTTGATTTGGATGATGGTATCCTGAGTTGTTTTTTTTGGAGAGATGGGCATATGAAATCAGATTATGATAGGTTTGGAGATGTAGTTATTCATGATACAACTTATCGGACTAACAAGTATGACATGATCTGTGGTCCTTTCGTTGGTATGAATCATCATTGTAAAAACATAATGTTTGGTTGTGGTTTTATGTTGAATGAGAAGGTGGAATCTTTTGTTTGGTTATTTCAGACATTCCTCAAATCTATGGGTGGTAAACACCCCATCACTTTCATGACAGACCAGTCATTTTCCATGGCAGCAGCTATCAAATCTGTTTTTCCTAATGCAAGACACAGACTTTGCACTTGGCATATAGATGAAAATTCCAAGAAACACATCATGTTTCTACGCAAGAAGCTGAACTTTGTTCCTTTATTTGATTATGTTGTTAAACGATGTGACACTATTGCCGAGTTTGATTTCTACTGGACTGAGTAAGTTATTTATGTGTTGTAACATATGTTTTCTTTTGTGTAACTTATGTATTGTTTTTGTGTAACCTGCGTTGATTTTATATGTAACATTGTTTTTATTTTAAAAATTGGTTTCAGGTTGAACAAAGTGTATGAATGCAGTGACAATACATGGTTGAAAAGGCTCTACAGTCATAAAGAAAAGTGGTGTCCTGCATTTTCAAAGGATTATTTCTCTGGTGGCATTCTATCCTCCCAAAGAAGTGAATCTACAAATAGATCCATATCTAGAAGACTCTCAAAAACTGCAACATTGTGTGACTTTTACAAAATGTTTGGTGATGTTGTTGAGGAATGGAGGTCAGAGGAAAATGGTCAAGATTTCAGATGTTCAGAAGGCACTGTTGAGATGGTACTGCTGCAAGATAGTTTGTTAACTCATGCTAGAGATGTGTATACCCTTGAAATCTTCAAACTGTTCCAAGAACAATATTTGAAGGGTATGTCACATTTTTTTAAATTAGTAACACAGAATTGTCATGATTGCATTTATCATGTTTGGTTGGACGGTGTAGATTTGATTAGACACAGCGTTACTTTTAATGCAAATGACAACACGGTGACATGCACTTGTAAGATGTTTTCAGAAGTTGGCATTCTTTGTAGACACATTTTGCGTATATATAACATTCATTGTGTGAAATGTATTCCTCGAGATTATATAATGTCTAGGTGGACGAAGGGTGCTATTTTGCCAAATATGGGTCGTTCTCATATTGAAGCACCTGATACTCTGTTTGGGAAAATATTGGAAGATTCTGTGTGGAGAGTTCAAATGACTAGGAAATTCAATACAATATTGGCTTCAAGTGCTAGTATTCCTGAAGCTAGGCAAGTATGTGAGCAAGGTTATGATTCTATTAAAAACTTCTTAGATATTCAGAAACGCCGCACTGCTGGAGATGAATCTGCTTCTGAATCGAGGACCATATTGGATCCTCCACGTTCTGTTCCTAAAGGTCAAAGAAATACACGAAAGAAAAGCATTGTTGAAAAACAATGCAAAATAGTCAAATCTCGCAGGTCCAAATCCCAACAAGTTTCATCTAATTCAAAACTTGTTGCCCAATCAGTTGTACAGGTATATTTATATATTTGTTAAATATTATATATTATTTTACTTTTTTATGACAATTTTTTTTTTGTGAACAGGAGACTGTTAATTGCATGGTGCCACATGGTTATCTTGCTCATCCAGTGCATGGAATGACTTCTTTGATGCCTATGTTTGGATCTCCACAAGTTTTCACTCCATACTTTTTGCATCCAAATGTTGGGAATGAAATGCAAATTTAGTAATATTTAATTAGTATGAATGTAATCTGCTTGAACACTGGCTGTGGAGTTTTGCATTTTTACATCTTTGTATGCTCGTTTTACATTTATCAGTGATATTGTTTACATTTCATATACCCTTTGTTTACATTAGTCTTTCAGTGTTACACTTGAATTGGTTTATCAATAAAGTTTTATTAAGTGAATTAATTTCATTTTGATTTTATTGCAAATTCTTTACTGTTCTTTTACACAAGTTATATCACTGGTATCAAATCAATGCACATTCCCTATTGTGCAACACATTGACTACTATGTTACATGAGTTTCATTCGTTTTTGGCTTTAGTTACAATGTCCTGTAACGTGAGTTACATTTGTTCTAGCCGTTGTTTACATCATCTGAATTTCAATCATACAAAATTCATATATAAGCAGTTTGCGTGGACAATATCTTAAACCAAACATAAAAGTTGTCCATAATACATGCATAAGCATTTTGCATTACAATATCACAAACCAAATATATAAGTTGTCCATACCATCACCACCTACTCCATAAAATGAAATAATGTTTTGACATAATTCAAGTCATCATGCCCTCCACAAACCAACAAATGTTTTGTCAGAATCATTTGTGTAGCTCCACAACATTGATATCTTACAGCGTAATGTACTCTTTTGCTTTTTTGAGAACAATGTCCCTTTGAGTGTTAAATTTGGACAATAATAATTGAGCAGCATACATTAGTCTCAACTTTTGCAGGGTTTCTTTTTGAGATTTCATTCCTTGCTTTGTAGAAGCCGGTGCAAATCCAGAATCCCATCTGTGTCCCTGCCCACGATATGTCTCCAAATGGCGTATGGCAAATACTCCACAGTCAGTATTATTGTCATTACTTCTCCATGGCATAATCAAAATTCTTGGAACCCATGTTGGTGGCAGTGAATCTGAAAGTTTCAGTTTCTCACAGAAGACTTTGAACCCCGCAACCTATACAAGAAATTAAATTAATGTATTAAAATAAAATATAATATATCATTTGTTATTTCCAGAAAAGTTGTATTGAATTTTTACCATATTGTTAAAAGTTTCAGCATATTTATTCTCAAAAGGCACCCCATCTGGAAGCATGCGGTTGTCTATCACATCAACAATGTTATTTTTTGGGTAAAAGCAGTAGATGTAGTAGTGCGCATGCTTGTGAATTGGAAACATTATCTGCAGTATACGTCAGTCATAAGTATTTCGTCTGTGTATTTTGCACAGTGAAATCAGTAACATAAAACAATACAGAATGTACATAACTCATATAAGCACTTACATCATTCAACACCTGAAGTTACATGGTATGTTACACACTTTGCAGATCTCTAATTATTTAATTCTTAAATTTAAAAAGCTTGATATATGTAGTTGCAACTTTTAACAATATACATATAAGAATTACCAAATGTGACTTATTTTGCT